TACTACTACTACTACTACTACTACTACTACTACTACTACTACTACTACTACTACTACTACTACTACTACTACTACTACTACTACTACTACTCTCTCTACTCTCTCTCTCTCTCTCTCTCTCTCTCTCTCTCTCTCTCTCTCTCTCTCTCTCTCTCTCTCTCTCTCTCTCTCTCTCTCTCTCTCTCTCTCTGTAGGGCGCCATCTCTTCGCCATAGCGCTATCAACCCATACCCAAATTGACGTGATTTAATTTAGAGTCGAAACTCGACCTGAGTGGGTAGGGTTGGGTTTGGGTCTGGGTCTAGTAATTAATGTATGGAGTCTGTCTGTTAACATAGATGGCTTATTATTTCATTTTCATCTTTGAATTATGTGCATTGCAGACTTCTAATGGCCAGCGAGAATGATCAATTCAGCCTATATGGACCTAACCATCTGGTAGACAACATTGACTGGTGAGGGGTTGGTCTTAGTTACCATTATGTATTTCCTGTTATCAGTGTTTCTTTTTACTGTTTTTCAATATGGTTTACAAGATAATAGAAGAAAATGCTGATTGAATTCAAATATTAGAAGAAGATACTTGAATAAAATATGTAAAACTTTCGAGGTTTCTTTTATCTAGTTATATGATATTAGAAAAACATTGCTAACGCTTGGTGGAAAATCGGGATAACCCAATTCCCTACTTGATGTAAGTTTGTAGCCGTTTATATCAAGAGAAGAAAGTAAAATCATGCTCCTCTTTAAATCTGGCACATGTTTTACATTTTCAAACCATCATCCTATCATACATTCTTATATGAATCAAGTACATTCCGATCGTTTTACTCATTGAATTATTTCTCATTGATGCCAAACCGTCATCACATAGCTCATATGCATCAAACCACGATATATGCAGACACATATGATATATGGCTCCACTATCAAGTATCCAACTTTGGTAGTACATTGGTTTGCATTCACCATCAATACCTCTTCTTCAATATAATCGGATATTGATTCTTTAACTTGATGAACATCATTCTTGGCCTCACCTTGCCCTTCTATTCCCGAACCGGAAATGCAATTTTCTTTGTCAACAATTTTTTTTGTGGCCAGACTTGTCATAAATCCAACAACTTTTCTCATAACCCCCTCAACTTTGATCGGCCACTTGAAGAATCTCTTGATGAACCAACTTGCTCATCCAATCAGCCTCTTCTCATAAGTACATACAATTTTAAGCCCATCAAATCATCCATTGATACCTTTTTTCGAAGTTCATTGGAAAGTACATCACTACAAACCGAATCCAATTCGAGGGCTTCTTCATTGTTACAACTCAAGGTAGTAACGAGATTGTCATAAGACTCCGGTAACGAGCAAAGTAATGTCACTGCCTTATCATCCGCATCTATTTTTACCCCGATATTCTCGAGTTAACAAATAATGTTGTTAAATTCATTCAATTGTTTTGATACTTTCATATCACCTCTCATCCTCAAGAGTACAATTTTCTTTTTAAGAAAATTTGGTTTATGAGGGACTTTGTTTAACACAAGTTTTCTAACTTCACCCATAAATCTACCACCATTTTTTCTTCTATTATATTAAATAGTATCTCATATCTAAACACAAGTGAATAATGGCCAGTGCCTTCTTATCCATTTCTTCACAATCATCATCCTTTATATATTCCTGATTCTTAGATTTTCCTTATAGTGTTTTATAGAGACCTTGTTGCACCAATATATCATGAAATTTTACTTCCTAAAGTTCAATCATTCCTTTCATCAAACATCTCTACTTCAAATTTGCAGCTAGTCATTTCTCAAATTATTACAAATTTCCCTTGAGCTTTGATGCCATTAGTTAGGAACCGAGACTATCTCGATTGCCTCTTGTTACGAAACCCCCCCCACTACAGCAAATCTAACACCTTGAAACCAACTTGCCAATCACTAATAAATTGATTCCAAGAAATCCAGTACCCAAGAATTAAATATATGGTGTAGTAAATTTGGCAGAAATATAATAAAATCAAGATAAAGTAAAATAAAAACTTAACAACACAACCACAAACTACAAACCATAATCAAAGCACTATAAACATACAACATACGTGATTCAACTAAAATCGGGCTACATCAATGAGCAACTGGCAAGAAAATGATTCATTATCAATGGAATAATTACAAATTTTGGGATTTAGTAGAGTTTTCCCCGTACAATGGTAAAAAAACCTCAAATTGATTTCGTACCGCACTAGCACCATTGATCAATTCCTTGCTTTGCCTCTGTCGACTAACACCATTGGGGCCTCAGAGGTAGGAAGGCTAGCAACATAGAATTCAATTTGGCTAATGCGATTCTGACTGTTAATTTGGGCCCTTCCCCTTCCATGGATTGCAAGTGGGCTCATGGGATACTCCAGTGGTGCCAGCCGGACCTCAGGTCGGAGCATAAATGTTACTACTATGGGTGATATATGGTCAAGCCAAAGGCAGCTTAATAAACAGGTGATATTTTCCTTAGTTTGTGATTCTTATTTTGTCTGCTTTATAATTAGTTTTCTACAGATTGCCTGAGGTTTCCTTTCTTTTTAAACTGGGGGCCTTTGTGCTTGCTTCTTGTTCTTTCCGTGGTTTTTTTAGGTCTGCAAACTCTCCATTAACCCCAGAGTATCCCTATTTCCAGGCCTATGAACAAACAGTGAAGCTGGACTATATAGTGTTTGCGCCTATTCATTATTTCAGTAGAGGGTGGATGCAGTGACCATTATTCAAGAAATAAGAAAATATGGATTATGGATGGTCAAGAGTCAGTGATGGGAGGGAAGATTAATTTGGAGAACTTTTGAGCTCAAATGTTTTAATGACATTTTCCATGGTCCTCTATCGGAAGACTTTCTTGGAGGAAAATATATAGAGGTTGATTTGGAAATTTCTTTTTTTAAAGGTATATATGGTTGATAATGTTACATCCAAAAAAGCTTAAGCTCTTATATTAGTTTTTACCCGAGGGAGCAAATGAACAGTAAATTCCTATGGGAGTGAATGTCTCTCTCCTTTTTTTTTCTTCTACTTTTGATAGCCATCTTTCTCTTTATTCTATTCACTTTTTGCTTTAACTTTTACTCGCTCTTTGGTTTAGCTATTTTCAATTTTTTTAATACAAATATTCCACAACATAGTTGGCTCAAGTATCACATACATATCTTAAAAATTTGGAACATTAATGTCAAATAAATATTTTTTTGTGATTTGAAACATCAATGAAAATAAAAATGAAAAGGGGGATCTCTTATATGTTTGTTCATATGGAAATTTATTGTTCCACAATTATGAATTGAGCAAAGAGGTATTTACATTTGGCTTTTCCCAAGGTACTTGGTTGTCTAGGCTTAGAAAACTTAAATTCAATTTTTTTTTGTTAGATATAGTTGGTTTGCTTTTCCAAACATCAACACCAGGAAGTGATATAATCATCTGGCTTGACTTCAGTAGCCTGAACAAAATAATGATTATTAATCCCTTGCTTGTCCAGGGTTAGGAATCTCAATCTCACTTTTTTAAAATTTTAAAAAGTTTCTAGTTCCAAGTTTCTACCTTGAACATGAGTTGGTTTCATTGGAAATCTCCTTCCAATATTTTATTTCTAAGCACGCAATATATGTACATCATTTGACTCGGTCCACTTAAATAGGCCAATTTCTCGTACCCAAAATTGAATGCAATTATTGTAATTATCATCTGAGGAACTCTAAGCTGATTTTCAGCAAGGATATACTAATTCAAAGTCCAACTTAAATCATTCCAATAAACTCAAAATGATGCCTTATAATTTTCTCCTTACCCATGCAAACATTTCCTAACTTTAATTAATATTTCAGAAACAAAATATGAACAAAAATATGAAAAAAAACTTATCAAATTCATCAGGACTTGCAGGTCGTATTCTGATACCTTTCTACATAAAGAAACTTGCTGAGAATGAGTTTTTCATAAACATATTATATAAGAGGGAAGACAAGCTTGCTGTAAAATAATAGTTAGAAGATAATCTAGAGAGAGAAAGTGTTGTGAGAGGCAACACGGTGCTATAATTTTATCCTACAATGCTCGAAGCTCTCACAAAAGTGAGAGACACGTCCCTCTATCCAGCTCACAAGGAAGATTATGAGAGAGAGAAAGAGGTTTTAGAGAGAGAGATAAGGAGTTCGTGCAAGGTGCCTAGGCCTCTCGAATCCTTCCTATATAGCCACTTAAAGGAAATTGAGAGAGACACTTGTATAGAGAATGACCAAGTGTTGCCTCTCAATAGCCACTTGTCCCTGTGAAAAGAAAGTATATATTGTCTATCCGATCAATATAGAATGTGTATATTGTAATCTGTATATATGGGAATGGTCGATACCATATCTTGTATTTTATGGTAAATCTGGGTATAGTATAGGTATCTTTAATTTATTTATATTTTTGTCGTTTGTATTTTTTTATATAAGGCAAGCTTGTATATTCATATTGATCAATAGACATAGAGTTTCTTCAGGTAAACTTGAGACTCTTTTCGTAATATTAGAGCGCGGTTCATCCAGTCGATGCTATTATGTCGAGTTGTGTTTTGACCTTCTGCAAAACGGCCACCAAGAAGTATTTTTTGACTCTCTACCGATCAGCCTTTGTTGTTGAAATGTGCTTTTGACTCACCATCTAACTGCCTTCGAAGCACCCATCGAAACACGGTTTTATTTCTCTGTTAATTCATCAACCGAACCCACCATGCAACTGTTTATTGATTTGAACCGTACGTTTTCTTGAGCTCTCTCCATATCTCCCTTCCCCTAAATCTCCTCTCTTCAAGCTAGGCCTCGGATTTGTGATCTGTAAGAGGAACCATGGCTATTGCTTTGGAAGAACTAAGTGATTGCTTTGTCTCTGTTGGTTCTTCTTGCCATTTATTTATGTTGGAGTTTCTCTTTTTGGAAGAACCATGGCATTTTGTAGTTTTCTCTCTTTGGAAGAATCATGGGCGAAAATACTATTCATTTTCACCCATATGTGTTTTGTAGTTTAAATAACTATAAAACACCTATAATTACAAAACAACTATGGGCGAAAATAAATAGCAATTTTGCCCATAGGCTCGGAGCTATCCAATTTTTTCGGATAGTGTAGATTAAAGACCGTCACAAACATAACATGTCCATGGTCATAAGTTACGAATATAGCATGTCCGTGACGAGATTTTTTTTATGCAAAAAAAATACGGGGATCCAGTAGGTCCATGGCGGTTTTTAGGGCCCAAAAAATCAAATTGCGGTGTGTTTCTGGTTGAAATCCTCCATTTTATACTATTATATTAATAATTTTAGTCAATGATTTACTAAAAATTATTGAAAAATGCTAAAAACGCAAAAAAATCAAATAAAAAAGGAATCTAACAAAAACTCAAGGCTTCTAAATAATATAACAGTTTATAATACAAATAATGGAGTACCAATAAATAACGGGTATTATTTCAATGTTTTAAGGTTATTTGGGTGTTTTTCTATAAACTAGTACGGTTAGGTAAAAAATTGCTCGGTTAGCTTAAAAAATGGCCGGTTTGTGTAGATTCTGGTCGGTTTTGGGTCAGAAATTTTTTGGGGTGCTATATATGCCTATTAGAACACCAAATCGGGACTAACCGGAACTGTGAAGGTTCCGATTCCGTTCTAGTTGGCTTTTTTTCCAACCCTGCTCATAAGTTATTAGGACAAAGTGCCACAAGAAGGAAAAACCACCACCGACTATTCTTCATCTCCTCCTCTATCTTCATATTCTTCAAAAAAAAAAAAAAAAAAAAAAAGCAAAAAGAGAAAAAAAAAGTTTATGCCAGGATGAAAAATAAAAAAAGAATCCCAAGAGTTAGAAAAAAGGCCACTAGGCTGAACACCCGAAAGGAACCCCAAGGGCAAGAAAAAAAATCTGCTAGGCAAAAAATCCTAAAGAAAACTTGAGCGTTGAAAAAAGATCATCGACCTGAACAACCGAAAGGGACCCCAGGGCAACAAAAAAAATAGAACTTTTCTATCTATTTATCTCTTATCCAAAATCTCTAAAACTTATTCTCTTCTCAAGTTAGAATGGTATCAGAGAGCAAAGTAAATTGAGGGCATAAGTCCAACTAAACTTGAAGCGCCTCGACTATCTGAACTTCAAAAGAGTGATAGTGGATGAACAAAATTAGAAGTCCAAAGATATTCTGAACACTCTGAGGCAGCATTCCATATTATCTAAGACATCGATTTGCTCGAAAAACAAAAAAAAGTCTCTATTGAATTGTGACATAAGAACCAAGATTGGAAGATGAGGAAGTACTTAGTTATTCATCCTCCTAAATGTCCCAAGTAGAGGTTTGACAAACTCATGTCAAAAAATGAAAAGGTGAAAAAAAAAGAAAAAGGAAAAGAAGAAAGAGAGAGAGAGAGAGAGAGAGAGAGAGAGAGAGAGAGAGAGAGAGAGAGAGAGAGAGAGAGAGAGAGAGAGAGAGAGAGAGAGAGAGAGAGAGACGAGTAGAGTACGTAACGAGTACGAGTAGTACGTACGTACGTAACGTAACGTACGTAACGTACGTAACGTAACGTAACGTACGTAACGT